CCCGCCGGCCGCCGCGTCCGAGGTGCTCGGCATCGAGCTCGCTCACGGCCGAGGGCGCGGCCCAGGAACCCGCCGTCGCCGCCGCGCTCAGGGCGCCATGGGGACCCGCGCCGGGACCGACCCCCGCGGCCGCGCCGGGGCCTCGTTCGCTCCCGCACCGCCCGCCCGCCTCACATGGGGCCGCGCCGGTACATACGGAGTCGGGCCGGGGCTGGGAGCGCTGCCTGATGCGGCGGCGGCGGAGCGGCACCGGGAGCGCCCCGCAGGCCGGCGCGGCCTCTCCCCCAACGCGGAAGTGTCTCCCGGCGGCGACGGCTCCTCCTCACTCCATCCCGGGCCGCGGCCGGGGACACGGACACCGGGCGCGGGCCGCGGGGCCGCCTCCTGCTTCTCTTCTCTCAGGCGCTCCCCGGCCGGGCGGCGGGGTCAGGCCCGGCCGGGCCGTCCCCCGGCAGGGTGTCCGGGACGCCGGGCGGCCCTGCTCCGGCGGATGGTGCCCGGCGGTGGCGGTGTCGGTGGCGGCAGCGGCGGTGCCGGCGGTGGCGGTGCCCGGGGCGCGGGCGCGGGCTCGGCGGTGTCGCGCGCTGACACCCGCACCGGGGGAACACGGACACGGCCCGGCTCCGCGCGGCGCATGCGCGGGATCGGCGGCGCGCGGGGGGGGGGGGGGGGGGGGGGGGGGGGGGGGGGGCTCGGCCCGCCAATCGCGCGCGACGCCGCCGTCTTCGCCCGCATGCCCGAGAGCCGCCCGCTCTCGCGAGATCTCACCCACCGTCTCCCCCCCCCCCTCCGTCCCGCGAGGCTCTCGCGATACCGCGGCTCTCGCGGGAACGGCGCTGCGCCCGCCCCTGGGGCGGCGAGAAGGGACGAAGATGGCGGGGACGGGGGGGGAGGGCCCCGAGCCAAGCCATGGATGGGACTGCGCCTTCTCCAGGGTTCCCCGTATCTCTGCCACCAGCGCTCTCTAGAGGCAACGCGCAGAAACTGATGCGCGGGAGGTTCCACCTGAACGTGAGGAAGAACTTCTTTCCTGTGCAGGTGATGGCGCACTGGAACAGGTTGCTCGGAGAGGGCAGCCCATCTCACTGGATGCAGTCAGGAACTATCCGGACACAACCCTGACCAGTGTGCTCTAGGAAGACCCTGTCTGGGCAGGGGCCTTGGACCAGGTGTCCCGCTGTGTGTTCCCTTCCATCCTGACTCATCCTGTGGGCTGAAGCGGGGCGGGCGCTGCGGGAGGCAGCGGAGGAACCCTCCCCGCTTTCCAGGTGGTTTTCCGTGCTTTTATTTTGTGTGGGCTTATGGATTTGAGGGGGAAGGGAGGAGTGAGAGCTCCTACTGAATTACAGCGTTAGAAGGCAACTGTACCTCTCAACAGTGAAGCCACTTCGTTGCTTCCTGAAAAGTAACTTTTTAATGTCTTACAGTACTGAAACTAACTTCAGCTTTAAACGTTTTAAGTTTCCTTCCCAGCTTCTTGATTTCTGATTTCCTACTCTAATGAAGTCTCGAACTCTTTCTTCCCTTTTTCTGCCCTCTCTATCGTTTTGCTTTCTCATGCTTTTACTCAATTTCCTGACTGGAATTGTGACTCTGCTGCCTGTTCCTTCACTCACCTTCTTGGGATGACTTTCTTCCATCGGTAGCATCTGCCATACCGTCTTGAATGTCATTGTGAGTGCCCTGAAAGCAGAATCTGTCTTTCCCTAGGGAGTTTATAGCCTTCTGGCCACCTTGCTATCTAACTGTTGTTAGCTAGCTTACATACATGCTGTTTACTTGTCTTTGTAAAACACAGTGCAGAAATGAAGAACCAAACCAAAGAAACCCACCTGTTTTTCACTGCTGTATTTCAGTTTCTCGAATCCCTCTAATCATTTCCTCTCCTTTTCTAAACCCAAGCAAAAGCACTCTTTTATCCAGGTCCTGTGCATCATCCGCTTCCAGCAAACCTCCTTCCACAAGTGTGTTACTTTACTTCACCCATCACCTCTCTGTTCCAATTCATATTTTTCACAAACGTTGCCCATCAAAGCATCCATTACATCCATTCTGTAATTATGCACACACACACACATGCACTTTCCTTCAGGCTCTCCCTTAAGGCAATTTCTGATTTAGTCCTGAGCATTAGCTGGCCCTTCTGGAGCGGGAATATGTTATTTGAAGGACTTGTGTCGTTAGCAGTGGAGTGCTGGCGTTTCCTGTGTGAAGTGAGCCCCGTGACTTGTCAGAGAAGCTTAACTAGAAGCTAAGCTGCTAATGACAGGGAGTTTACTCTGCCTGGAAGTTAGCTACACCAGGTTGTGGGGGGATTTGCCAACAGCAATCATGTCAGTGTTGGCAGCTGTCAGCCAACAGGTGATGGCAGCACAGGATTTGGCAGTAGAAACCCACAGAAACCCGTAGATTCCTGCCTGACATAACAAAGCAGACCTGAAACAGATCCCTTATGGAGAATAAGATAAAGCCTTTCTTTTTATCCTACAGTGTGCTGCAATTGTCCCCTTGTGGAAGACCTCCACCTCAAGAAATTAAAGACCAGTACATGCTGGGGAAATTTCTCGTAACATTTCTTCCCAGCCCTGCACTAGCAGAAGGCAATGAACACCCATAACTGTCTCCTAGTCTAGGTACTGGCTCTGTCCCCTTGTGGGAAGGACACGTGGACTTTCTGAAGGGGGTGAGAGCTGTGGATCATCTCGAGACAATGGGTCCATCCGCACAGATTTACAAAAAGCAGTTTTTGAAAATTTTCTGAGCACCCCCAGGACCCCATACTGTAATAGCAATTGCTTAAAAGCTTGTGGTTTTAAACGCCTTTTCCACGTGAAAGGTTCAAGGCCTTCACATAAAATATAAGTTAAATGAAACACATTCCAACATTTTCTTCTGTACTCCCTAAAGGTAGTCATGTGACTAGAGGACTAAAAATTATAGAAGAAACCTCACAGCGAGGACCTTGCTCTAAGCCGTGGTTCTTCTGCCTGCTGCTACTTTAAGCAAACAAGCATTTAATGGACCAAGTGCGTTGTCCCACTCAGACAAGTGTACTGCCCTAATGACAACCACGTTCTTGGAGCAGGATGCAATGTGCCCTTCTCTCTCCTCATTGGAACAAAAGGAACCAGTATTAGAAGAGCCTAAGTCTGTCAGAAGCAGCTAAGGGCATCTAGCATTTACTTCCTCAGGTCAGTTCTGACACCCACAGGGGTTACAGCCACCCACAACAAACTGCTATCCATGGGCACAGTACATTATTTTTAACCGCTCCTTTAACACTTCCACGGGATATTTCAGTAGGCATTTTGGCAGTTAGCAGATAAAACAGAAGTATTACTGTTTTAGACTCGTTCTTTAGAGATGACTAGTATTTAACACATTAGTCTGGCAGCATTTCAGCCAACAGGTGTGATTTGTTGCACTGAAAAAACATTTCTTTGACAATGAAGCTTCAACCAAAAATATTCCAGTCTGGTCAATGTATTTAGATCAAAGATTAACTAACACTCCAATATTAGGAGCACTGGCACGTTTCCTGCCATTCAGTTTTAGCAACGAGCTGAAGCTGCCCCAAAAACATGCAAGATGTTTCTTTGAGTCACCTCTTGAAAACATACCCAGTCATTTATTTAAGTCACAGCCAAAAACTGGCAGGAGTGAATTTGGAAATGCACATGATTATGCATCCACGTGCCTAGAAGAGCCAACATGTCTGACAGCAACGAGAAAGTTTAGGAATTAAGGTGCGCTCTTAGTTTTCCCTCTTCAATTCTCAGTTGTCACATGCTCAGTCTTACCTTCTGATCCAGTTCTGGCACAGCTAAATGGATTATATGCACTCACGTGACACCAGCCATCACTCTGCTGCTCCACATTTTGCACTGGATTATAATCAAGCAGAGAACACCTACCCTCTGTCTCTGAAACCACAGAGGCACTGCGAAGCTTGGTGTCCCAAAACACAGCCCAAGATTTTCAGCGAGCCCGTTGTACCTGTATAGAGACAAACTGTTTGGCTCCTGCAGATGAATATAGCGAGCATTAAGGCTCAGATAGAAAGCATATTTTATTGCATTATGATTGCCACAGATTTCTTAGCATTTTCAAAAGTTAATCGAGTTCCTAAAGCTATGAAAAGCTACAGAAAAAAACAGAGCTAGCATAAAAGTTTAATGTTTCCTATTCATACGAAAGAGAAAACTGAACTGTAGAGCTTAATACACATTAAGGCAGCTCTCTGGTCTGCAGTTTTACCAAGCCAGTCAGTTTGCAAAAGGGAGCAACAGCACTGCCAGCATTAGGCAAACTGGGAGGGAACTACTATGAAAGGCTTTGATCCTGCCAGTGAAGAAAGTATCTTCAACTCCTTGGAGAAACAGGGGATGAAACATGCCCTCAGGCACAGAGCTCTCTGAGCAGCTAGACCTGAGTTTCAGATACACAAGCAGGCTATACCAAACACTCCTCTATGATGCAAATACAACACTAAGTTTGGGTGACTCTCTCAACATATACCCAAATCCTATAATTCACAGTGCAAACACTGTTCCCTGCAGGTTGAGAAGAACACTTAGGTTTCTCCTTCGTTGTGTCAAAAGGAAATGGCTTAGAATACATTTTTATTTTAATAAAACTTACCTAGGTTGGTGGTAGTCTGGTGTTGGTTGGTTGGTTTTTTTTCCACTTAATTTTTGTTTCTAAATCTCACTTTCCATTTTTATGGAAAAGTAATTCTGGAACAAGGTTACCTCAGTTTGTTTGCCCCTTTTCTGATATTCTTTTTTATAACAACTAAGTAATTAGCTCTGGATAAAAGGTAGCACCAACATCATCTCACTATTATGAAGTGGCTTTTTATCATTCTAATTAGATTTAATGTACAATTTTGTTCACGCACACAAACCAGTCTTCTGGAATATTTAGGTTTAACTGCTTGACAACCAGCATCAGCTATAGCAATATTTACAAATAACAGTTATTAATTGACAGTGCACAAGTATTTTAGAAAAATGGAAGTTTATTCATCTTTCAATGGCTCAAATAGCAAATAAAAGGACAGGATAAGGCATCAGCCAAGACAGCTTTCATGTGTCCTGTGGCTTCATAACACCTCAGTTCCCAGTATACAGGTTCCAAAGCAAAGTCACAATGTTAGTGGTTAGACTCCCTGGCTAAATAGACCCAAATGAGTACACAGTAAGATGAAGACTGGCTTTATTTGCCAGTTACATGAGTAACTTTAGTTCTGCACTTGGCAGTCTACTAAATGCACATACAAAATTCCTATTGATAAATATTTAACATGACAAATATAACTTCTAAGACTTGAGTCCCTAAAACGTCTGTTAGCATGAAAGTTAAATATTTGTTACCTAGTTTGCTTGAGCACATTTTAAACTGTCAGTTATAGGCTTACACATGTATAAAAAGTATAACAGTTTGTGGAATTGATCTAGCCCGTCTCACCACAGAGGAGTCCAAAACCCTCAAACATTCTGGTATTTTTTTTTAGTCAGGATGTGGCATACTAACCGTGTGCTAGTATTCTCGCTGTTCCGAAGCAACTGAGGCAGTATGTTTTGTTTGGGGATTTTGGATGCGCGTGTTAAATGTTTCTGTATTGCAAAGCATGTTTGATTGTTTGATATCAACGTGAACTAGAAAAAAGTAGCTACACTGTTCCCCATTTGAAAATCAACATAGATTAAACAGTACAAAACCTGCAAAGAGCTTCAGCGTAACACACCGTGTTCCCATAGCTGAGTATTAGGAACACAAAAGAAATTAACCAGAATTTTGCCAGACAACATCTTAAAACACATTAGCGCTACTAGATTAGCCCCACTCCACCCAATTCCAGGGAGTTAAAACCCAAGGAACATCTAGACAAAAATCTATGCGCAAAAGGGAAGTTTCAAGGTACCAGCACATTAAATTTTAAACGACCATTCCAGGCTTAGATGTGCCATAGGCTTACGACTTCAGTCTTACACGTATTCTGACCTTTTAAGTTAAGATACCATACTGTTACCAAATTATGGATGACAGAATATGCTCTGTATTATTCACAATACCAGAGTATGGCACACATTTAAAGAACAGACACTGCTAGCAGACAGCTAGTTAGCAAAATCATTCATGTAACTGCGCTCCTCAGAGAGGGCAGCCTCGCGCTGATGTGCAGGGACAGTTCTCCATGCAACAGAGTTGAAAATACACCCTTGATTTAAGCAACCTGCTATGTTTGGGTTTTAAAATTAAGGCATATTCAAATATTTCAATGTAAAAGTTTATATCGCTCTTCTAAACTAATCAGGAAACGCAGTTCTCCTCAACGTAACTGTTCGCAGATACATTATTCTTTTCTAATTTGCATAACTCCATGGCAAAACAGCTGCATGCTGCTTTGGTAGGTACCATGTTCACAATTGTAATTTTCAAGGCAACAAAAGACAAGATGAATTGACAATTACCAGTGATAAAAAATTATGCTTTATAAGAACCCACAAAGTAATACTTCGCCCCTCTGTTCACTATTAAAGAAAAGACTGCCTATGAAATACTACATTCAGAAGAAATGTGAGAAGGTAGGCAATTATGAAATGGACTGAACTTTGCTTCTCTTGAAGCCACATAATTTGTTTTCAGTGAATTTGACTTTCAGTGCAGCTCCAATTCATGCTTTTAGTGGTACATTACATTTTCCAACACATTAGGGTAATTTCAGTCACTTCAGCCTTCAATGGCATGCTTATAAATTATGGTTTTTATTAGTATGGTCAGGGTAGGAAAGGAATCCAGGCTCTGATTATAAAATGCAACATCTTTCTCTGATCCTCTTAGCTAGGCTTTTTCTTTTCTTCTTCCCATTCTTTTCTTTGCTGTCTTCCATTTTTCTGGCTCTAATTTCTCTCATTAAATCAAAAAACACCTAAAAAAGATATAAGAATATAAATTCAAAAACATTCACAGACATGAGTTAATTTATCCCTGTATTCTAAACAACAGAAGTGAATATGAATCAATTATATGCAACCAGTTTGAGCAAACAAATATTAATCCAACAAATCTTTCACTGGCTCTGAAGGCCGAGTTGATACGGTGCAATCCTGCTTCTTTCTTGGCAGCATAATGTTCCCCTGTCTTCTGACATTCGCTTAGGAATCCTGTCAGACAGCTTTAAACAAGGATTGAAACAAGGGTCTCATCACCAGCCAAGATTTTCAAATGTTGTATGTACATCTTACTGAGGAGACTCGAGGAAATCAAGTTACATTTTGAGTATTTTCAGTAATGAAGTGCAAAGGCTGAGAAAGTGAACATCCAACCCCAGAAACAGATTAATGCAGCAGTGACATACACTGAGCATTTCACGGTATGTTCCATGGTGCAAACCTAAACACAAAGCAATTAGGGGAAAAAAAAAATAGCACTTCCCTTAAATGAAAATTATCAATCATATGACTCCATAAACAATTTCTTACATCAGGTAACCTCAGCTACCATATTACAACCTCAAAGAACACATGAAGTTTTTCTCCATCAAATGGTTTAGTAGGAAATGAATGTGACAATGTTGGAGATACACCTCTTGACTTTTTTAAGAGAAATCCTATTGACAGTTAAAGGCTTTATGATTGGACTGCTTAAAACTACTATTTTGAAAAGCAGATTTTTACTGGACTCACAGGAGGCTGCAGCAAATAATAATTTATCTTTATAATCTGATTGTAGGGAATCATCTGAGCTTTTACAAGAAAAAATAAAAAAAATCAGAGCTGTATTCATCAATGAAAATGAGTTCTGCTGTATTTAATTGACTTAGCTTACTCTACAGAACAGCACACAGTTCTTATTGTAGTACTGAACACTCAGTTTCTTCAGGCAGATAACTGGCAGGAGACAACAGCTGAGTTTAAATTATTACAAAAGAGAACTCACATTTACAGCCCTCACGCTCAGTTGACAGCTCATTCATAAGGATTCACGTTAGGAAATTTGTCACAAAGGGTGAGGTGCTGCACCTGGGTTGGGGCAGTCCCAGACATGAGTCCAGACTAACAGAAGAACTCACTGAGAGCAGCCCCGTGGGGAAGGACCTGGGGGTTCCTGTGGATGAAGAGCTGGACGTGAGCCACAGTGTGTGCTTGCAGCCCAGAAGGTCAAGGTACCCTGGGCTGCACCAAAAGGGGACTGGCCAGCAGATCCAGGGAGGTGATTGTCCCCCTCTACTCTGCCCTGGTGACACTCCACCTGCAGCGCTTGGTCCAGCTCTGGGGCCCCCAGCACAAGAAGGATGCAGACCTGTTGGAGCAAGTCCAGAGGAGGCCACAAAGATGATGTGAGGACTGGAGCAATTCTCCTATGAAGACAAGCTAAGAAAACTGGGGTGGTTCATCCTGGAGAAGAGAAGGCTCCAGGGAAACCTCACTGCAGCCTTTCAGTTCTTAAAGAGGCTTATAAAAAAAGAGGGAGAGCAACTTTTTACAGGGGCAGCTTGTGATAAGACCCTTAGGGGGACAGTTTTGAACTGAAAGGGAACAGATTTAAATAATAAATTAGGAAAAATCTTTATTGTGGAGGTGGTGAGGCACTGGAGCAGGCTGCCCAGAGAAGTTGAGGATACCCCATCCCTGGAAGTGTTCAAGATCTGGTTGGATGGGGCCTTGAACAACCTGATCTAGTGGGCTGCACCCCTGGCCACGGCAGGGGGGTTGGAACTAGAGATCTTTAAAGGTGCCTTCCAACCCGAACCATACTGTGATTCAACGTGTGGTCAAGTTTGTCAACAGCTCTGAAAGGAAGGTTGGCCCGTTGCACTAAACTACTTCTTTTGCCACACTCTTACAGTTTACAAGGCTGAGAGTTATTCTGAATTCCGAGAACTCCTGTCTTTTACAGTTATAGTGAAATACTTACAACTAATCAGTATTTTCATTTCTTGGAGATAAATATTCTCTCTTATTTCATGACCTTCTGGACCAGGTTTAATCCCTGAAAACTCATGAGGCACTTCTATGCTTTTCAAAGCTTTTTGGGTTCATCCATTCTTCACTGAAGCAACATATAAATAGGCAGATGGTTAAAAGAGGTAGGGAGGCCTCAAATCCCTCCCTTACCTGCTTTTACAGGGTGTTTTATTCTGAGGATCAGACAGTACTTCTCACTGTTCAAAAGCAGACTGTGTTCTAGTTGCAGAAAATGCAGTAAGAAGTCTAGGCCAAAACAGCTGACCTAAGAAAATTTTAATGAAATAAGATCTTGTATCATAAATGTATAATGACTCCTTGCAGTTTAGGATGGGTTAAACTTCTTACACCTAACATTTTCACTATTCTACATGAAGTCACCTAGTCATGCGCTCCCTGCAAGCTAAGGGAGGAAAGTATTTGAATAAAATTTCACAAAAATAATTGCTAAAATAATGAACATATAGAGAAACCCATGGAAAAGAGGGATAATGTAAAAACTGATGGATAGATCCTTTGTTTTAAGAGGCCAGTTATTACCTTGTCAACATTAGCTCGTGTTTTTGCAGATGTTTCCACATAATTAACATTCCACTGATCAGCTCTGTTTTTTGCTTCCTCTACAGAAACTTGCCTTTTATCTTCCAAATCTGATTTATTACCAACTAGCAAAAAAGGAACATTCTCATCTTCTTTTACTCTTAAGATTTGTTCCCTGGAGAAAAAAAGAAAAGGAAAAGAAAATTAAGCTTTGCATGGAGTACTATTCTTAGAACACAAAAAGAAGAACTCAGACTAAATACTTTTCCATCTTACAGTGAAAAGCCACGTATTCCTCTTATGAAGCTTATGTAACAGGAAAGTCTTAAACCTCATTATGACATTATGCAGAATGAAGACAGGGACAGACAACTAGTCCTCCAGGAAGAAAGGAGGTGAGTCAGTAAGAAATGAAAAAAATAGAACAGAATTAGTTTAGGCGAGAATTTATATTAATAATTCGTTCCCTTTAACAGTGTTAAATTTGAGAGCATTTACCATTGTCTTTACATTACTACTTTTGATTGCCATTTTTAAGCTATCCAAGCTTCAGTTTTACTGCTGATTTTTTCCTAACAAAATGCATGCACCATTTTTAAAGCTGATAAAACGGTCTACAGCATATTAAGAGAAAATCTTTTCCTTTCAGGAATCTTTCTCGAGTCAATTATATTCAGTCTCTGCAGAGCTCTTAATTCAGTTATAAGCCAGTGTACAGATACAAGTTGTATATGCATCATGTTTTTAAGAGCAGATGCTTCTACTGTTTTAACCGCTAGGATGGAAGGTTTAAAGTTGTAAATCTCAATACTACAAATCATTTGGTACATAAATCTTCAACACTTTAAAGATAATGAAAGTTTTCTTCTAATTGGAAATGCATTAGAACTCTCAGGAAGAACAGTTTTCTCAGAGGGATATTCTGTATTCTGTCTAAGAAAAGGCATAAAGTTAGGAGTGAAATGTAGCCACTGATCATGGAGCGATTTCTGAAAGATTGACAAAAAGCATGGAGAAAAAAATTCCTTTTGCTGGCTAAGGTGAAACAAAATTTAAAGTTGAAGGGAGAGAAGCTGCAGACAATTAGGTAATTGATATTCTAAAGGGATTTCATTTGGTATATGGCAGGATCCTCCTGCTGTTACAAAAAGCTCTGAATAGCATGTAGTCTTGTGGGAGAAGTCTACTCATAGGGCTGAGAAATTGCCCCCCCCCCTTTTTTTTTTTTAACCAACAGCTATGCATTGGAGGCAGCTTGTAACACTACATTTATGTCTGAGGTATAACTAAAAAGCAACATTTCTCCTCTTGCCCACAAATACCAGTGCAAATACTTTAACATGGTCTGCAGTTATCCACAAGGAGTTTGAAAAGTCAGTGGATTAGGAAGGTGGCCAGTAGAAAACTCAGTGCATCACTACAGTATCTGTGTAGATCAGATTACTGGTAAAAACTAGTAGCTTTCAACACTAATTATCTAGGTGATCCTATATGGGGTTTGAGTGATAAGGTTTTGGTAGCCAGGGGACTACAAGGGTGGCTTCTCTGAGAAGCTGCTGGAAGCTTCCCGGGTGTCCAACAGAGCCAATGCCAGCTGGCTCTAGGACAGGCACACCAACAGACAGGGCCAAGCCAGTAAGCAGTGGCAGTCCCCCCAAAACTGGGGATGAGGGGGTAGACCCTGGGAACGAGAAAGGGATGGGGGGAAGGGGTTTTTAAGGCTGGTTTTACTTCTCATTATCCTGCTCTGATTTTGAACGGTAATAAATGCAGTGAAGTTCCCCAAGCTGTGTCTGCTTTGTCTGTGACAGTAACTGATGAGTGATCTCTCCTCATCCTTAATTCAAAAGCCTTTCATTGTATTTTATCTCCCCCGTCCAGCTGAGGAGGGGAGTGATAGAAAACCCTTGGTGGGCACCTGGCATAAATGCCAGGTCAAACCACCACAGATGCCAAGCAATTTAATTATGCAAAGAGTTAATCTAACAGCAATCCAGATGACAACATGCTCCTTTGCGACCCCCCTGGAGACTGACATCTCCTCAACAAATGATATGGGCCAGCTTGAAATCCAGAATGCAAAGCAAAAAAAAAGCCAAAACGTAAGAGCCAAATTCCACTCAAAGCAATGCCAGATTTTATCAAACTGCCATGGCAGGCCTGCGTTGGCATTTCAGAGTGTAACAGGAACCCCACTGCAGACACTGAAGGAGTACACAGCTCTTCTGCTGGAGCTCTGCCGTTCCAGCAGAACAAAATTCCATCCAAATTTTTCGTGTCACTTTCTTTCATATCTGGCTCTTAAATAGCACGCCCTCAGACTACTCAACAATGTCAAAGGTACTTTAACTGTACACACATGAGAAAATTTTCCTGAGCTACATTGTAGCATTTAGGCTTCTACAGTTTCAAAGAAAATACAATGAAATGCTCATGAGCTAAGGACAGGAGAGATCACTGATCGATTACCGTCACAGGCAAAACAGACACAACCTGGCCAAGTTAATTGAATTTATTGCCAATTAAATCAGTAGGGTAATGAAAAGTGAAACCAAATCTTAATCTTTGCCAGCAGTAGATACTCCTTGGAGCTGGCTGGCACTGGACATAGTGAAAGCTCCGAGCAGCTTCTCAGAGAAGCCACCTCTGCTTCCAAAACCTTGTCACCCCAACACAATACTCTGTTGTTCATAAAACCACCTTTTATAGGTAGAAAGGCTTGTGTTGTTGATAGCATGCACTTCGGCCTCCCAGAATACAATGCACACGCCTCAAATTGCCTAAGACTTGGCAGACAGGCATCACCAGATATGGTTATTCTGTAGAGTTTTCAACTGAAATCCTGGTCACGTCATCTTTATAACAAGTATTCTAGTATAAAACAGCTGCACATGCTATAGCTGCTTTTTTGTTCAAGGTGTTGTTTCACTGGCTAAGGGAAACACGTGTCTTCTACGTACGAAGCAAGAACTAAAAAGAGACAACTCTGGGAAGTACACAGTACTGTACACAAATGACAGGCAACCCTACAAACTCTGTGAATTTTTTCTCAGATTCATTACTTTGAATAGCTGCATGCCTCCTTAAAAATAACACTGCTTCCTAGCGCAAATGCCAAGCAACACCAACTTACAAAGGGCAGAAGTATCTGCTCTGGGGCAACAGCCTTGTGGTATTCAGAAACACAGCAGCTTAGATACCTGAAGTGGTACAGATAGCAAAGGCATGGCTAGGCATCTGTTCAAAACATTATGGGACAACAGTAAGAGCTGTCATCCAGTGTGGATTATCAAAAAGATATTACACAACAATTAAAAAAAGAAAAAATCACTTGCAATCATCGCAGTGTAATTAGAACAATTATCTTGCCTTGTAACTTACCTGAAGTCTGCGGTTGCTGCAAAGGATTCCAGCTCTGTAATAGAGAAGACGCAAAGGAAGCCTTCTCCACTTCGGAAGTAGTTGTCTCTAATTGCAGCATAGTCCTCCTGCCCTGCTGTGTCCAATATATCAATTTGGACCTCTTCCCCATCCAGAACCACTTTTTTCCTGTAGCTATCTGCTTTGGTGGGCTCATAGTCTTCAACGAACTAGAAAAAAAACCAAAACCCTTAATGATATAAAATCATGCCTGTACAAGGCAAATGCTTCTGTTTGAACACCAGGACATAGCAAACATCTTAAATGGGTGCAGTAACTAACAACTAAGCATTTGCATTTAGGCCATGAGAAGTACTCAAACAAGTCACTTAAAGCAGACTTTTCCCCAGCCCAAACGGTTTTCAGGTTTTTGCTTTCCTCAGCCACTTTCACTGGGAAAAAAAGGAAACAAGAAACTGATTTTCTTTCCTCTCTTCAACAGCAGCATGAAAAGCCATGGAAAAGTTTGGTTGTTTCAGGCATCATGCAACTCACCTAAGTAAAGAAGCTTTCAGCTGTAATAACTAAGTTCTAATAGGTCTAGTGAACAATGCAAACATATTCCAATTATATGACAGAGCATCTAAACTGTTTAGAAGTCTGAAAAAGGCCAATTTTTACCTTCACAGGTATCTCTAGAGGGCAAATCACTAATCTCAAAACATGTTTTTGCCCCACTTGATTGATGACTTTCATACCACATCATATACATTTAGACCCTTTCAGAAAAAAAACTGGACAAATCTAACTTAAACAACACTATGTAGCAGGCATCTCCTAATTTCTAGTGCAGATTCTTACCTCATCATACATGAATTGTAGTGTTAAAGCAGATTTTCCCACACCACCACTTCCCACCATGATGACTTTGTGTAAAGCCAAGGAATTCTGTCCTTTAGGTTTATTTGCTGCCATCTTTGGATTGCAGAAAATTCACAGGTATCAAATGAAAAAAAACCTAGAAGAGAAATATTGCTTCATTAGTTTTCTTTTCCTTTTCCCACATGACCTGTTTGAAGTGGATTTGTTTCAAATCCCAACATATCTAATGACTTAACTTCAGTTCTGCTGTCTGCAGTGAAACCTATCTGCTTTTTCACTGGAAGTTGTTCCACAAATTATACTGAGCTCATCTATTTTGCTACTTAAGCGAAGAAATCTTTCACCATTTGCAAACAGCACAAGCAGGTTCACAGCATCCAAGAGCAATTAAAGGAAAAGATTTATATCTTGGTACGTAGAACATGACATTTTCTTTTAGTGACACAGTATGTATCAAAAATACTTGCTAGTTTACTACACAAGGATTGAAAAAGGAAACCACAGTGAGCCAACACTGCTCACCACCATATTACAAATGTGGTATGACAGCTGCAGGGGAAGAAAACAGACTTTGGAAGGAATTTCCATCTTAAATAGCAAGCATTAAGACACAGCAGCAAGGATTAGCTAGTGTACTTTTACAGAGAAAAGCAAGCAAACCTAAAACCTAAAAATACCCAGTTTCAGTAAGTCCATCAGAAGCCAAAAGAATAATCTAGTTTACATAGAGTAAAAAGATTCAACTTGCCTACAAATGTAATTATTCAGTGGGATATATATGGGATAATTGTCTCAGTCCCATGACTGTTTGCTTAAATACAAATCTCTGCATCTCACCAGTATCAAAAGGCTCCATGAGCTCACACAGTTTAATGTATGCTTGCAGAAATACAAGACATAACAATTCCATTAACTTAGGGAAAAAAAAAAAATCAAGCATGTTATAGTTTGAGAAGATCTCTTCTGCAGATCTTCCCACACCTTTGTTTCATTCCCTACCTATCCCGATAGTTAAATTTGTGATTGCTTGCACAGTTCTTAAGACATGTGGAAGTCCCTGTACAGTGACAGAATATACTCTCCTCCAGAGATTTTAGGTCAAAATAAGCTCTGAAAAGACACAATGGCATCTACATTGCATACATAAATACAATAAACATCTATGGAAGTAATTAAGAACAAAATGTAACTCAGATTTTGTTAATTACAGAGCTCAAAAAGAGCACATTCATATGGTGGCACAGCTCAGGTACATCCAGAACTATCAGATAACACAGTGCAGTAACAAGGCACTGTTACCTCACTGTCAAATGGTCACAATGGGTAAAAGTAATGTCACTAAAATTACATTCTCCCGCATCATGAATTACCCTTGTGTGCAGCTTAAACAATCAGAATGCAAAGCATGACAATCTTCTTCAAACTTTTATCAAAATCCCTAGTTGAGGCCATGCACTAAGGTTTTGTTAGCAGTGAGGCAGGTAAGTATAAAAGTTTGCTGACTAAAACTTCAGTAGAGATTCAGCCAATACTTTCCTGGAAGTAAAAATAAATAAATACAGAGCATTAAGGCCTTTTCTGTATCTCATGCTGCCGTGCCAGCAAGTAGGCTGGGGATGAGCAAACCGCTAGGAAACACAGCTGGAACAGCTGAGACATTTGAAGTTTGTCAGGAGTGCCATTGCTCAGGGACTGGCTGGCATTGCTTGGCTAGAAGTGAGCAGGGTTTTGGTTTTTTTTTAAATCCCCTGGTGGAGAGGGGGAGCGAGAAAGCAGCTGTGTGGTACGTAGCTGCCTTCCAAGGTTAACCCACAAACCGCATGAGAAACTCTTCAGATCACATCAGCACACCCATTGTGCTGTCAAAGAATTCTGAAAACGCAACTGAAAACTAAGTCGCTTAAACTGTTTTCCCCAGAAAGATTATCTGAGTGAAGTAAGTATGAGTAAGCTAGTGTACTCATTTATAGAGCCATAGCAGAGAAATACAACTTGCATTATGTTACAAGTTCTTTCAAAAAGGAGATGGAAGAGAACAAAAACACATTTCCATTTTGTCTTTAAAATAACCATTGCTTCCTCTTCACTCAAGAGGGAGTACAAGAACACGAAAACAGTTCCAAGCCATGTGCATGTTTTCAAGCTACATTACATTTTGAACTACTCCATTGTTTTGTCTTTCCACTTTTCTCTTAAAAGGAAAAACGTATCCTGAAAGTCAAACTTCTTGGTACGTATTTCAGACAAGTAATATAAAGAAAATTCATCTGAATTCCTTTTACCAACTGACAACAGCTCAGTTTGTGGAGCTTTGATTACAATATATACCCACAGAAGCAGAGAAACTGCAGCACTAGTAATACCTGGATATGGCCTACTCTGAGCAACAAAACAGACTATTCTTCTCTAAGCACTTCAACACTGGAACAAGTCTAAATGAATTCAGCAGGACCTCTGTCAGGTGAGTTTGTGCAAACAATCTGAAGAAATTCAAATATACAATAGCAATGTTTCACTGTAATATTTATTGTAAATTAACCTACAGACTTTAAGTGGATTAAGCAGTGTGAAAATCGATATTCTACTTTAATTTGCAATTCAACGAGTAATGTCCCAGTGTGACAAACAGAAGTCGCTGCTTTTTGTACTCTACAACAGTTGACACGTGAAGAACCCAACACATTTCCACTTCCAATTTGATACTTTATTATTTGTAAAGAAGTGACAGCGCTCCTTTTCCCTGAAAATTCTTTAACCAGAAAGATTTTATAGCAGTCAATCATTTTTCAGAAGTCTTTATCGATAAAGTCCTTTCAAAGAAGCATAAGAGATCAAGCCAAAGAAACTTGAAACTATAAGAACCTGACCCAACCAGTCAAAGCAGTATTCCAAGTCATCAATAACTGTCAGTTAACAGCATTCCATTAAAATAGTGAAGATAGCAAACCTTCACGCTACCACAGACTTCAAATCTTAAAGATAAGCTTGTCGTAAATACCCTGCTCCATGCTGTAGTAGGAGGCAGCTCAGGGAGGCCAGTTTGCTCCTGAGTTCTTCACAATCCAGTGAAGATACAAAGCTAGCAAAACTCAGGCCTGCTGACAGTAGACAGCGTGGAAAGAGAGAAATAAGTTACAAACAATGCAAGTACAAGGCAATATGATACTGTGCAAACAACACTTAATCCAAGGAGACTTCTTCAGAGCAAGCACTGTGCCAGAGAGAGACCCTGAAAGTGGTAAATTTTAAGCTACTACCACATACCTGTTTCATGTGCTTTTGAAAAGCAAAGAGGCACCCAGATTCCAATTTTAACAGTAAAGCACCTGAGATGAAGTTTCATACACAAAGTCCTTCCACCCATAATTTATGTAGCCTGGCTTATTTTCATAAGGAGTATTAATTTGGGTCCTATCTAGTTTCTGAATTGGCCTACTTTATAATTATGATAAAACTGACAGAGACTGTGGCAAGAACCCTGCTGTATGAAGCTCAAGAAAACATACTTTCTTAGTACGTGTACTGTGGGTTTTTTTAATTATTATTATTTTCAGCTTCACAAGGCAAAATTTTTTGGGAGTGAGAAGATAGACACAGGATTATCCTGCAGTCAAATTCTACATCACCCTTCAGCAGAGAGACACTCACACACAGAGTCAAGCAGGGCGTTGTCAATAGCTGTATCATCCATTTATGCAAGTCAGCTTTTTACCACACCCACTGTAAATCTCATAGCAGCAATACAGCTGATGACATATGTTAAAATTTATTTTTAAACAGTTCTTTGTGTAGTCCAACAAGCTGGAAGAGAAGCGAAAGCTTAACTGGCTCAACAGTGTACTGCAACACCTTCCCTGAGAAGGACAAGAGCATTGTCTAACCACCATGCCACAGATCAGTCCTCACCTCCACTGCAGATAAACTCCTAGGAAACTGCCCTTCTCCAACATACCTGAGCAGATAAGGACACAAACAAATGGATCTGACTGCTCTGCCGAAGTAAGCAGTTCTCAAAGCTCCTACAGCTGCTTTACTGCCTGCTTGCAGATAACCATCCCCGTGATTCTGTGCTCCACTTAATGGCAAGCTTCCAGCTGGAGCTAGGATAACTTCTGTAGAGCCAGGCTAGGGAGCAATTAGATTAACTAAGGACTGCAGAGGTAGGAATTCATGTTAGCATCAGCAATGGCATCTTGTCCAACAGTCTAGAAATCTAATCAAAGGACCGAAGATTAGGTAACTAAATAAGTTCTAAGTTATTTTTACATGAGTAAGGTAATCTAGGAACTTTTAAGTGCAGTTGGAAAGCTGCTGGCTTCTACCTGTATTAGTATCAAGTTCTCCTGAGTTTTATATCTTACATCAAAACTCCTCTGTGCAAAAAACACAGTGTTACCTGTAGTCCCTCAGAGATTTAAACCCAACATCCAGCATTCAGCTCCAGGCACCAGAGGAGTGAGCTGGACGCTGGTTCTGTGACAGGACTTGGACACATAAGCACCGTGCTAACTTCCACATCCTGGACCACAGATTGATTATCCAGATTCACAAGAGTAAGATAGCCAGGTGCCAACACAAAAAAAAGCTTTTCATCGTCATTGACAATATTTCAGGGCAGGTATCTTTGCAAATACATGTTAGGAAAGAAGAAAATAAAAAGCAGGAATCCTTGGTCTCTTTTTATTAGTCTTTATTTTGTCCTCTCATCTACTATTTCAGTCCAATAAACTGAAACAAAAATATGCTTAAGGGTGAAAAAAACCTTATGGGTTTCATCCTCTCTTTCATCTTGCTCATCTGATCAAATTGAGAGGACTCCTCTTAAGCTGTCCTATTTTTCAGTTGGCTTTTTCTTACAAAGTAACTTGCTCCAAAACAATCAAAGCCTGCTTCCTTACATATCCATGCCATTTGTCCTCTACATCCCTCCCCAGTGCAATAATCCCAAGGTTCATACAGTAAGAAGAAGGAAAAAAAGTGGCCAACAGAGTAGCTGTGTACCATCCAAACAGGGCAACAGACAAGCCACAACAAGTTTTAGATTACTTCCTTTCCTTCACAGGGAGCACTGTGAATCACAGCGTAGGTTTCCCCCTCTTCAGCCAGCAGTACATACTTCAAGAAATTTACAGAAACTATCGTATCAAAGACACCTAAATCTCTGACAAAATGTACCCAACACTGCCTAATGGTCTGAAAAATAACAAAGAACAGAGCATAGGATCAGCCTCATTTTCTTAGAGAACGAGACCAAAAGAGGTCAAGAAGCTATTCTGCCTGTTCTGATTCCCTGGAGCCTTGTAATGGAGTGTCAACAAGAACAGACCAGGGAAAGAAACGCATTACACCGAAGTCACATCATTACAGGCACAAATTCAGCTGGCATCTTCTGCAGTACTATACATAAAGCTGAATGCAGGCTTTGTGAATATGCAGTTGTCCTTAGCAGCAGGACTTTGGTTTGCTGCAGGCATTTGTTTGGAGGGGACGAGTTATACACAGCTTTGTGTTTAATCACGCTTGGTACAGTAAGTATAGTAGATTCTGGTTAATAAGCAGAGAGAGTGGTACCCTTCGAGTACAAAAAAACCCAACTTTTTATTGTTAATTTTATAGCCTACCTAAACCTAATACATCAAAACTGAATCCCAGTTCGTTTCCTTTCCTTTAAGATAACATAAAAATTTGGAAGTTTGTCATATTAACCTCATTACCCACTCACTTTTATGATGAGTAACTTTCTTCTCTGAAGACTGTTTTGGATAACAAATCACTTACAATCCCTGGCTGATATGTCACAGCACCTGCTCTGTTTAACAGGAGTTAAAACTTGATATGTTTGAAGGAACAGGAGTAACTTAATTGAAATATGTGAGCTGCCTGCACAATATTAAGAACTATAGTCAGTATGCTTTGACCAAAATACTTTCACAAAAGGCAAAATTATCAATTACTGAACAATTAAAGAAAATTCAGTAATGGAAACTCATCTTCTAATCAAAAACCTCTTTTTTTTTTTCTAATTGAAGAAATTAATGCCTGTACTACTCTGTACTTCAAATTTAGTATAATCTATCACTTCCAGAAACATTAGCTACAACTTATCACATTGTGAAGTGAAAATTTATGGTAATTATTTGACAGTATTTTCTAAGTGATTTAAATATTCTCCAAAGTTTCTTAATTCCCCAAATTGATTCAAAACTCTCTTGCCTCACATGACCTAAAAATTACAAGTTCAGCTTTCTGAGAAAAAGCACAAAAACAAGAATTTTGAAAAGTGACAACATATCGATGTCCCCAAGGACCATCAGGCAATATAATCCTATCTATCATGAAAAGATCACAAATTTAACTAGTTACTTCATTGTTTATTAAGTCTAGTAGTTTCAGTTTGGTTAACAACAGCAAAATTACACTTGAGAATGTATTGTTTGAAAACAGCACTAGCATGCTAGATGCCAAGTATCTGGAAGACACTTCAGGAATGACTCAGATATTTCTGCAACAAAAGTGTTCCTGGAAAAGCAGGGAGGCGATTCCAGGCAAGCAGAGTCTAACCATCCCAACAGCTGCTTCCAATTACAATATTGAAACCAGAACAGCAGAAACAGCCCACGACCCAGAAATTGATAGGATACATGAGGACATAAGATATATGATACCAACTGTTCTAAGAACTGGAGAGTTAGGAAGTTTTTTAAGTTAGATCAGCATTATTGTAATAAGTGTCATTCCATGGCTCAAGTGTGACTGGTGTTTAAACACACAACATCTGTCAAGCTCTGCTTGAAGTAGTATCAGTATTTTATTAAGGTAGAACAAGTATTTCCAAGTTAAATAATCACTATGAATTATAAGTGAAAGCCTAGAAAAAGAGAAGAACTAACACAAATATTCAAACCTATGTTAGAAACGACTAGTCTCATTAGATAATGGAACAGCCCTCCTGAACTTTAACCTCAGAACAAGGCAGAAACTTTCACAATAAGTACTTCCCTCTCTCCTGAAAATAATCCTTTGACATAAACGTGTTTAACTGGTAACTAGGATTTATTGCTTCCCGTGAGTTTCACAAGCAGTTAAACCACATTCAAGGTTTAGCAAGTCCTTCTTTCCAAAGCTTTCCAGGGCACACCACATAAGGTGCTTGTGTTCCCCACACCTACAGAACAAATTTACTGAGGTGACTGACTACAGATATACTAACAAAAGCAAAGGGTAGGAAACTGACTTCATCATCATCAGCAAATCTCAGGCAAAAGATCGACGTTTCCCAGCTCCTTGAGACAGGTACTTCAAATTGTAACCATATCCAGGCACTTACATTGGAAAAGTCAACCAGTGAACTCTTCATCAAGTAACTGAGGCCCATTCATCCCGTAAAGTACATCATGCTGCTATAAAGAACAGTGGTTCCCGCGTGCCTGCAGCTTTATACTTTTAAGATATCATCAGAAGAACCAAGATCTCTTCAACTAGAAGTCACAGGAACACTAGCAAAGAAGTTCACAGATTTGCTAAGGCTCCACAGGGTCTTAGTGCCAGCTTTTGGACATGGCCATGAACTAGGCAACAGCTTCTCAAGTGAGAATATACACGAATTCCATATGTTTCAAGCTATCATTTCAGCATTTTGTTACCAAAAAGCCTCTTTGGCATCCTGCAAGATGACTTCCAGGAAGGCACTCCCTTCAGGAAACCAACATGTAACAAACAGCACGTGAAAACCCTAACAAACTAAACAACAGGAACTGTCTAGAACAAAATCAAGGTCTTAAGATTTCAAACCTTGAAGCGTGCTGAAAAGAAAATGAAGCAGCTACATCACTGTCCACATAAAACACTGACAAAACACACAACACTCGAGCCCAAGGCTGATATAAACTGAACCTGGCACAGTCTGACTGATCTTCCCATACCCTTTCTCCCAATAGCACTAGGTGGCAAAGCACTTACGAAGTTGCTCTGGACAAAAATTAATCTATATTGGTTTTGGACGGATTAGCTACCGAAACAAACTTGCTGGCACCAAAGACAGCCCAGAACAACACACAGCTGAGCACGGGGAAAGCAAAACTACAGCGCTTCCAGCCTGTAAGCACCGTGGCAAAACAATGCAGGTGTCCTAAGATTTGTCAACCATAATCTAGCCCCTGGTTCAAGACTCCTCACTTTCTGCAAGTTATGTGATGGCTGTTACAAAGCATTGTGAAGAGTTCTAGATACTTGCAATGGTTTGTCTCGATTGCTCCAGGAAATCGAGGAAAAGCAGCAAACTCAAGCACACTAGCAATAAGATTGTTCTCATAGTTCAGCTGACTGAAGTTACACTGTGAAATAATTTTGGTAATATACACATTTTAAAAAGAGTCTGGAATACTGTTTCTGCTTCCACATGTTCATTACATGACTGGTACCCTATCTTAGTCTGTTCTAATCACTGAGGGAACTTAACTTTCTAAGGCTGACAGTGCTGAAGTGTTGCTGTAACATCAAGTGGAAGAGTCATGTCTTCTCTTTATATTTATAAACATGAAGATCTGTAATCTAGCATATTAAAAGAAGGCATTAGTTTTGTATTGATTTGAGATTATACACCATCAGGAGAGAATTAACAGCAATAGCAGTCACAATAGAAGAATGAACAATTACATGCCCCTAGCCTGCCAAAGCTATCCATGCATGGATTTAGAGGCAAGACAGACAAACAGGTACTATTGTATAGCTGCTGATTTCCCTCCACGAGCAAAACCTGCGGTGGAAAAAGTAAAAGCCTCTCTCTCCCCCCCAACCCCCCCAAAATATAAGATTGAATGGATAGCCTCCAAGGATGAATTTTACTAATGCTGAATCAACAGCTCAGGGGTTTCACTAGAGCTATTCAACAAAGAACACAGGGAAGCACTTCAAGGACACATATAAGGTAGTGCCACCTAAGATGTGCTAGCATGGTGCAGCCTCCCCTTGAATACTGTGTGCAGTTTTGGGTGCCACAATATAAGAAAGATATTAAGGTGTTAGAGAGCATCCAAAGGATGGAAACAAAAATGGTGAAGGGCCTTGAGTGGAAGCCATATGAGCAGTGGTTGAGGTCACTCAGTCTGTTCAGCCTGCAGCAGATTGAGGGGAGACCTGCAACTTCCTCATAAAGGGGAGGCAGAGGGACAGGCATTGATCTCTTCTCTGTAGTAACCAGCGACAGAACCTGAGAGAATGGCCTGAAGCTGTGTCAGGGAAGGTTTAGGTTGGATATTAGAAAAAGGTTCTCCACCCAGAGAGTGGCTGGGCACTGGAACAGGCTCCCCAGGGAAATGGTCACAGCATGAAGCATAAGAGAGTTCAAGAGGCATTTGCACAATGCTCTCAGACACACGGTGTGACGTCTTGGGGATGGTCCTGTGCAGGGCTAAGGGCTGGACTCAATGATCCTTGTGGGTCCCTTCCAAGTCAGCCTATTCTGTGATTTTCATGCTGTGCTTCAAGTACAAGAAAGCACACCTGGAAGCTAACTTCTGACTGGTAAGGCAGGCTTCACTCACACTTGCACAGAGCTGCAGCTTCCAGCTGCTCTGGAAAGCAACAAGAATGGAGTTCCCTTGAAGGAACTATGCCAGAGCTCGCAGCATGAGCTTCAGCAGTTCACTTTGAGAAGCAGTTCAAGAGCACTGCATTCAAAAAATTGTTCAGAGCATGTTCAGTATCATAAATTCAGAGGGGTTTTTGTCAATCATACTTCAAAAGGAATCTCAAACAACATCAGTGTGTCCTTTTTGCCCCTGTAAACTTACACTTCAGTATACACCACAGAAATTTAAGGACGATTGAAAGTAAGCATATTGACTTGGTTTGATGAAGTAGATTCTTTGAGAAAAGTCTGGAGGTGGCTTCCAAAAGACATACTTGAAAAAATATAGCTTTTCCTCTAACAAAACTATCTTGTTAATTGTTAAAACCCCTATAACCTTCCTTTAGAATTTCAGAATGCCAGATGTGTGTTTTCTAGAAAAAACAAATATTTGCATGCTCATTTTTACAGCCAGGAAGAATGACCTAAGATCCACACTCGCTAAAACCAGAACTCCACCCAAATAGTTTCACTGCTCTATAGTCAGGAAAGTTAACTTTTGCATTTCAAAAATTTCCTTTTTATTGCTCTAAGGAATCATCGAGCTGTAGCAAATGTCTTTAGTGAAATCTGACCTGGCAAAGTAAGTTACTTCATTCATTTTATGACTTTGTCATCTGTTTTACCACCCAATTAGAAATGCATAAGTACTTTTTTGTAGCATTATTGTGAGAGCACTACTCTTATAACTGTATTTTCTTCTGGTAACATCTCCTCCTGTTTATATTCTATGCAGACCAAATTTCTCCTCCTAAAATGATAATATTTTTTTCTGTTTTATTCAGGGAGCAAGGATTTTATATCATGACTCACAAAAACTCGTAACTAACCTTTTGAGTAAGCGATTCAAGGACGTGATTGGTTATACACCTGATGATGCAGAGCAAAACAGCAATCATAAAGTTGAAACACTGTTAGTTGATCCCTCCCCGTTTTTAGATGCAGTTTATTCCAAAACTATTAGAGCTACGATTTGAAAAATTGATAGTTAATTTAATAGACCTAAAAGACCCAATTGAGCAATTAATTGTCTTTTAGTTCAACATATGCTTGCCAATTGAATGACTTATAGTAGACTTTCACAGCTATTTCACACACTATAGGCATAAAACATGCAATGGCTAGAAACAGATGGCATTCAGTTCATTAGCTCAGTATGAAATTATTAATATTCAGGTTGATTTATCAATTTCCACGTTAAGTGCCAAAGCACTCTCCCTGCTTAAAAATACTGATTATCCTTTTCTTGCAGTACCACAGAAGATATTTTCAAGTTGAAAGTTGTAAAGCAGTAACTTTTAAAAATCGCTTTTTGCTCCTGTTTGAATACTTCCAGCTCTTACACTGCACGTGGTAATTCAGAACACTGAAGAACTGTTAAATGACTTACAAGAATGTGTGCAAGTTTCAAGTTTTAACAGAATAGGCTATCTAAAAGAAGTTCTTCATACAGAACTGTATGTTAAAATCATGGATCAATTTCGGAACATAGAAGGAAGCGTAACATCCATTTCAGACTATCCAAGGAAGCAGCAATCAAAAACTTTAGATAAACAACCTAAAAATCAGCTTTGTAATCCCAATCCAAAGGAAAAGAGTCTTGGAAAAGGCACCATTAGGGACTGTGTACTATTACACTTCACTAGATGGATCTCCCCAGCGTGTCTCTCTTTCCACGTCCTGACAGGCAACAGAGAAGCTAAAGGCATTTCAGCAGTGGTCACAGAAAAAAATCCAGTTTATTTTAAAGGCCATCTAACTACACCATTCTGACTGGGTTAGTTATGGCCATTTCAGTATTTTATCATATTGTATTTCTTAAAAGAAATCCTAGAATGTGGCTACAAGATTGTTTCTGTTCCAGTTTCTCCTCACAGAAGCATATTTCCCCCTATATCTGTAAAAGAAGTCTCATCTCCTAAAACTGTAGTAAAATCTACTAGAAAGATTACAACATTAAACAGAAAATTTCACTCCTCAAACAACGGACTGTTTTGCCCAAATTTCCCAAGCCACACTTCGGATCGTTAGAATCAATTTGCTTTTGCAGTGCTCTTCAAAATATTCCAGTCTGAAGAAACTCACTTAATTTCTGCATATTATAAACATTGCCTCGCTTCTAACTCATACCTCTTGCAGAGAATACTTGTGCTCGCTTATTTCATTCCTCTAGCTGCTTTGACTGCAAGACCTATAAAGCTGAATCTCTGCAAGACAGAAAATACAACAGATACAGCTTAACCTTCATTTAACTTTAAAAGAAGATGCTCTTCTATTACAAAAATTCAACATGTGCCACACCAAGTTACCTAAAAAGATCAACTCTCCCAATAAGATCCAACGGAAAACATTAAAGAGACAGGGATAGTAAAGAAGTTTCTCAAAAATCAGGACCTTCTAAGGCTTCTACATTATTCCAAAACCAAACATTTTGCATCTCACTCTGGTTGTTGAGCAAAGAGAAGCTAAGAAATTCTAGCATTTTTGTGAGCAAGTGCACTATAAACCCTTTATTTTTAAGTGTAATTGTAACTGTGAACCCATCAGTAAATTAATAACTACATGCCCAAAGGTAAGGATTGACAGGGAGACAGTTACATGGGTGTATATACACAGGCTTTCCTAAAGTATTTTGTAGATCAGCTACTGGCCTCTTGAACACCATCAGTCTAAAAAACTATAACCTCCCACACTCTGACCACAGGAAAAACCTGTTGGCAATGCCCGCAGTGGGACTTCTTAACAAAGCACGGAGACATTTAAGATATGCAATTTACACTGGTCAAAAGTGAGTATTTTCCCCTCACAGCAGAAGCTGAAATCATGACTTGGAATCCAAGCTATTATCCAAACAAGACCTAAGAAAAAGGACAGAGAGATAGCTTGGATTAAGATTTGGAATTAACTTAAGTCCAAATGGCAGTAACAGCTCCTGTTTAACTGTTGTTATAAAATCACACATGAGACAAGTTTTTCACAGAAAAAATGCTGCACCTGGAACAAATACTCAGTTAATCCTCTTTAATACTTCTGAATGAAATGCATCTGTATTTCTTCAATTATTTTCTCTAAAAACACCCTTTATGTTACACTATACACTAAAACAAAATGACTACTGATGCAAACCAAATTAATTATTCAGATGGGCAGCTTTCTTGTTCTTCATCAGCATCTTCATTTTGCTTTATTATTCTTATCATGGTCTTCATTACACAGGAAAAAACAATCAAGTACTAGAATTGATTACATCTTAAGTTTGTGAGTGTCTTTGGATGAAGTACTCCAAGATGCTGCAGAATACAGGGGCGTTACATTATGAAAGTTACATGTAGCTATATTTTCTTCCTTACAACACTAACCATTTTATAACCTTTTAGATGGTGACTTGCTGAACAGAGAGTAGTTTCTGATACTTAGCTTAATGTATCAGCTCCTTAAATTCTGAATGAGCACACTGGACTGACTATATAGAGAGGAGACACAAGTGTAGTGTCTTCTTTCTAGGTTGACTTCTTCTGTTTTCTTGCACACTTTACTTCCAGGGCATATGAGTGAACTGGAATCTCAAACCCATCGTGCCTCAGTCAGCACAATCTGGAGCAGTGGGGAAAGATGCTTTACCAAATCATACTCACAAAGATCTGTGCTGCATTACTGACTTCACTAGGTGAACTGTATCAATGAAAAACAAATTTCATACTCATTTTCAAATAAGTGACAACTTCCAAAATGTAAACTTATAACACGTCAGAGAATTCTAAGCTGCAACACAGTGTACTGAGCCAGTCATGACCCTACTGGACCAGTAACTGAAGCACTGCAATTAACTCTGAATTTAGATATTAAATACAAATTTGCCTGGCAGAAATCAGTTGTTAAGAGCGTGCAGTGTTATTTCTTAAAATACAAGTGTCCTGAGGATTGGAATGAAGTTTATTTGCATGCTACACTATATAGGTGGAATTAATGTAGGTGTTTAAGTGTGCAAGAACTTAGTGGTGTCATCCCAAAATAGCTCTTCCACATAATAACCACTCGAATTCAGTATCTAATTTTGCTTACTT